ACCGTAACTTTGCATGTATCTCTCCATGGACCCAATAAACCTCCATACCAAATTTAGTGAAGATCCACCTACAGAAGGTGAGGTAGTGGCCAAAAACACAAAATGTGAAACCGCAACTGTGCATGTATCTCCCCATGGACCCAATAAACCTACATACCAAATTTGGTAGAGATCCATCTACAGGAGGTGAGGTAGTGGTAAAAAACACAAATGTGAAACCGCAACTTTGCATGTATCTCCCCATGGACCCAATAAACCTCCATACCAAATTTGGTGGAGATCCATCTACAGGAGGTGAGGTAGTGGTAAAAAACGGAAATGTAAAACTGAAAATTTTTATGCACCCCCGTATGAACCTAATGAACCTCCATACCAAATTTAGTGAAGATCCATCTACAGGAGGTGAGGTAGTGGTAAAAAACGCAAAATGCAAAACTGAAAATTTTTATGCACCCCCGTATGAACCTAACGAACTTCCACACCAATTTTGCGAAGTAGTTACATGGATATACAACAGACAGTACTATTATATTTATATAGACTTTCTTAATTAAACATTTGAAATAAAAACAATGGCTAAAATTACGATCTTTCACGATGGTTTGAATGTGTTTGTGGAATTATGTTAAATGGTTATTACCTTGTAAGTGCTTTAGTAAGTAGAATGTTATATTCACCACAGAACCGAATAAACTTGGTGTTAAAGATACAGTGTGTGTGTGTGTGTGTGTTTCTTACTAAACACAAAGCTATACAATGGGCTTTCTGTGCTGTGCCCACCGCGAGCATCGAAACCCGATTTTTAACTTTACAAGCCTCCAAACTTACCGTTGATCAACCAAAATACGGTAGGAGAAATGTCACTTGTGAAAAATAAATGCTTGTAAGCTCTGTTTACGAAAATATTGTAATGTTGAACAAAATCTGATGTATTTAAACGTTGAAGCAGTTACTTTATTCAGATTTTTATCCATTGTATAATTAATTGAATTACTTTTATTACTGAAAGTTTAAGTTTCAATTGTATAAAAC